CGTGGTGTAACACAGAGACATGACAGGAGTTTTGCTTTCAATAATTTGGGGTACAGTTGCTCCAAAACCCCTGCACTGATCTTTTTGAAACTTGGCAGGATTTGTGGCCTCAGTAAGGGCTACCACCCCGGCAGTTTTCACCATGCTATGTCGTAACGCCTAGACATGACTTGAGTTTTGCTTTCAAGAATTTGGGGTGCTGTTCCCCCCAAGCCCGTGCACCGATCTTCTTGACACTTGGCAGGCTTCACGCTCTCTGCAGAGTCTACCACCCCTGAAAATTTCATCCAAATTAGACAAAAAACAACAAAGTTGTTATAACAACATAATGGGGTATGTTATTGTTACCCCATTATACCCTACCGCCGGATCTCCGAGGCGGCTCTGAAGCTTTTTGTGAGCTCCGAACCGCTTTGGGAAGCTGAATGAGGCAACGCATCGACCCGGATGTGCTGTTTCAGACCCCAAAGTGGCCAAAGCTTCTCCAGATCTGAAGCTCAGTCTGAAGCCTCGCACAGCCCTAGTGCCAAGCAGTGGACCTGGAAGTGGACCAGAAGTACTTCCGGATGCCGGAAGGAGGGATGCCGGAAGTGCTTCTGGTCCACTTCCAGGTCCGCTGTTGAGCGTGCAGGGGACACCTCCCCCCTGCACCGTCTGGTTTGGCAATCAGTCATGGGGGGACCCCGGGTGCCCCCCAGACCCAAGAGGCGCCAGTCTCTGAGCCAGGGGAAGCAGGGGGTCCCCCGCATGTTTCCCGGTGAACCTGGAAGTGCTTCTAATCCACCTCCGGGTCTGCTGCCGAGTGTACTGGGGACCCCCCCACACTCCCATGGGACTTGCCATCCGCTCCACCATCTCAGTATTCACGAGTCACCTTGAGGTATGTAGAAAAAACATTTAAAGCTGCATCTATGTCTGAATCATTGAATCTCTCCAAATCGATTCAGAGGGTTCTGATTCAATTCAGAGAATTTAAAGGGTCTCTTGATTTGATTTGGATTTGGAGATTCAGCTGCCGAATCGGGCCGAATCGCCACCAAACTGAATCAGCAACCAAAGCTTCACACAGTCCTACTTTGAACCCTGCTCCTTCTGGCTGTGCCCCACCCTACCTCTAGGCACAGACAATAGAATTGCAAGGACAAAGGATTGACATCAATTAACTGAAAAACGGGACTTTTTGTAATCTGTTCCTCATTCAGAAATGGACAGTGGACAAAGAGTTTAAAAATGATGGTCCAGTATAAAACAGGACTAACGGCCACCCTAATTAAATTGTAAACTAGCTCTGTTATGAGAGATGACCACATTCCTTCTCAGAGTTTATCCTACTCTACCCCACCTTTGGGAGGCATATATTTCTGAAGAGTTAGCAGCACCTGTTCAGAGGTATAGGGAATAACAGTGTGTCAAGCACTGCCAGTGTCTGACAAATGGAATCATTTTCTTATGTGCTACTGAAGAGGAACTTGTTCATATCCACCAAGCTACAGGGCATTCCAGCTTTCTAATGTAATTACCAATATCCCAAAATATGGGCCAGAGGCTAGTTCACATATAACAACATCTAAGAGAACTCCAGGCCGTGAGCCAGAGCATACCTAAATAATGACTTCCTTTCAGACAGCAGCTGATTGGTGTGACTTAGGATAGGCTTTATCATTTGAAAGTTTCACTTTTCTAGCAGTCTCTATTTTAGGCTGTGGAATGCTGTCTCTAGCAAGACTTAGTTCAGCTTGCAAACCCCAGGTCTGTTATGCAGGCATGGTGGGCCTAGGCCCACCAGGAATCTATAAGCTCTCAGTGCTTAGAGAAATAGAGGGATGCCACTAACTGTAGAACAACTGAGTCCTTGGGACAAATCATGGAAAAAACAGGAACAGGAGTTAAATAACTAGGGCTTCAAGGGTAGGCACCGAGCAAAGAGCACCTTGCTAGCCCCCACTGGTGTGGACACTGCTCAATGAAGCTGTGCCCAGAGATGTGCACAGGTGAGTGAAAGGAAGATAGCCCCACAGCTTCCCATGTGTTGTGTCTGTCCACTCCCCTCCAGCCTCTCCAAGGGAAACCTTGGAAATTTCTCTATTTGAGTGTATTCAAACAAGTACTTGGGAAAGCAGGTTTTGATGATCCTGGGTCATTTGGCTTATTGGGATGTCTCGGCGCAGGTGGGCAGATGGCTGGGTAACTGTCATTTCTTAAACAATGGAACAGCTTCACTTGCTTAAAAGGGAGACTTTTTCATATTGCAGAAGACTTCCAAATATCAGTCACACATAGAGACACATTATTTTGTATGCATTTTTTGGGATTATGTTACTTGGGCAAAATCCATATAATCTCTTCATGTTTGACCAGAAATAGGTGCAGGAGTTACTGGATCTAATTCTCCACTCTTATATGCTGTTTTTGCATCAGTGCTACCTATCTGACTTCAGTAATTCAAGTGGTAGAAAATCAGTGTAAGGGGGAAGAGAATTAGGCTCAGTTGATGAGCCCATATAGTTTGACTGGTCCCAGTTATCTAGGAAGCCACGTTCCATTTCATGTTCCATTTCACCTCAGTAAGAACATCTTGTAGATTTAGGACACTGGGATTTTCATGATAGCAGACTGATGTCATAATCACAGCAGTCTAGACATGAATGTACACCTTTATATACACAAGTAATAGTGCAGTCAATGGAACTGCTTGTGGGACTAGGGATTACTCCCGTAAAAAAGGATTTGAGTGTCCACTACACTATAATATCATGGAGAAGGAGTAAGACAGTGGTTCCCAACCCTTTTTTGCCACGACCTGCTGCTGAGAGTGGAGTGTGGCCGTGGCCCAGGGTTGGGGCAGAGTAGCTCCTGGCACACAGCACAACTTGTCCTTTGTGTGCGGTGCTGCTGGCATTGCCCCCACGACCCTCATTTGGATCGTGATCTGAGGTTGGGAACCTCTCCTGTAAGGGAACTTTTAACAGCAGCAATGATGTTCAAAACGATCCAGTTCATGACATATTATAATGTATATTCAGGAGTTAATTCACAAAAGGAATCTAAGAAATACATATTTTACTTGTGGTCTTTCACTTCACATTTTCTTTTCTGGATTTTTGTTGGACTGAAGATTTTTTTAATTAGCTACAATGTTAGTCCTCTATGTTGTTGAATAAATAGGTCATTTTCCCTTCCCACACATGCTCCAATCTGCCTTTTTTTTAATTGTATAGTTCAGGAACTGGTTGCCCATCAACTTAAAGCTGCCTGCAAAGGGTTAAGTTGTGCCTCCCCCCCGCCCCACCCCCAGACTCCTGCTTAGCCACTGCTTGCTTTCTTGCTCTGGCTGCAACAGCAGCTGAGGGCTCCAGGTTCCTTCTCCGTCCTCAGACTGTCATTTCTTGCTCCTGCCCCAGGGGGTGGGACAGGGCAGTGCCCAGTGTAGGAACAAAGGGTGAGTTTGGGGCTGCGCAGGCACACAGTACAGCATCAGCATGGCCCATACAGTGCAGGAGTGAGGGGCACAGTTGTGCAGTGCAGCAGTTGTGTGTGGAGGGGGACCCTGTCCAGGTGCATGGTTCACCAGTGGGGGCATCTGCGTGGTGCGCAGCTTGGGGGTCTGTGGCTTACCCTGGTGTGACCTGCACAGTATGCGGCCCCCAAGTTGCTTGGATGTTGGACAGCCCTGGTGCAGCTAATTTATAGTTATTAATACATATGAAATGAGTTGGTGTTAAACATCTGAGTTTGAAAGAGGTGAGATGCATCCTTGCTTTTATTAACATTTAGGTAATTGAACTTCTTAAAATAAGAGAATGAGGGAGAGAAAGGAGGACATTTGTCTTGAGTGTCTAGAGATTGTATTGATTGCAAATTATAAAAAATCCCTCTGTTTCTATTAGTTTTCATGTGAGAATATTGCAATGTGAATGACACAGCAGAGTAGTATCATCATCCAATGGAGAGGTTGACCGGAAGAGTATTTAGTAAGCACATACCCTATGTTTGTTCTTGACCTCACATTCTGATTTTGCTGATGCTAACTATTTTTAGAAATATTGTTTCCTCCTGCTGTTCACAGATTCCCTTTTTATGTTTTTCTTTCACAGGTTCCAACTATGGGAGTCCCCGTCCAGCTCATGCCAACATGAATGCCAATGCAGCTGCAGGGCTTGCCCCAGAGCATATCCCTACTCCAGGGGCAGCTCTGTCCTGGCAGGCTGCTATCGATGCTGCCAGACAGGCCAAATTGATGGGTAGTGCTGGCAATGCAACAATATCCACAGCTAGCTCCACACAGAGGAAACGGCAGCAGTATGGGAAACAGAAAAAACAGGGTACTACCACAGCTACACGTCCTCCCCGGGCATTGCTGTGTTTAACACTGAAAAATCCCATCCGGAGGGCATGTATCAGCATCGTTGAATGGAAATATCCTTTTTGATTTAGTTGCATGGAAACAAGCAAGTTGTTTGTGTGCATTAGGCACAGTTTGTAAATGTGCATAAATAAATACATTAAGTTGATGGGCACCAGTGGGAATCTGAAGTACATGAGCAATATCTGATGGCTTCATTGATAGCAACTGTACTCAAAAATTCTAGGCAACTGTGCAGAAGTCTTGACTATACTTGTGTATCAGAAGTCACCTATAGTTTAGCTTGATGAAAACAAAGGGTCAAAATGTCCCCTTACCAAAATATATAACTCATGCTGACACCAGTGGAAGCTGTGCAAATGGGTGGCACCACACGGCAAAAGAGAAGGGGCAGCACAGAAGAACAAAACTTGGTCGGGTAATTGTTGCCCATTACTTGGATCTGGGCTAGGGGTGGTGAGGGAAGAGATGGGAATGTGATTTACCCAATAAAAAATCCAGTGAAAGGTATATATATATACAGAAGGCTGGATCTACTAGTGTGAATAAGGGCCAGGCTCTGTCAGAGATGGTACCTAATTACCATTGTGGCAGAAAAGTTTAATGTAAGGGCTCAGTCCTGATTCTCGTAAAGTCAATGACAGTTTGGACATTGCCTTTGGCCGGCCAAGGCAAAAGGTCCAAAATGCAATACCGATTTATTTTGTATAGTCACATAAACTGGATCACTGATCCTTTTAGGAGCAAAATACTGATTGAAATATAAGGAAGACTTCCAAAACACAAACCTGCAAACTAACCATAAAGGGTAATTACTGTCTAGCCTGGCTCTTCAATAAACCCCCAAAACAGAATACAGGTGTGGAGAGAGTAGCCTTCTGCACTGAACACTGTACAGAATTCAGCAGTAACTAAGGTGATGGAAAATGAATGAGGGGTATAAGATCTGATGTGCTTATTTAGATATTGTTCCCAAGGATGCTTGAAGGGACTTGAAGATGCTTGAAATGGAAAAAATGAAAAAAGAACCAAGCAGTATAAGCCTATTAGATCTTGCTGAAACAAAATCTTTTTTAGATGAAGGAACATGTTAAAAATGGTCCTGTCAATAGCTGTTCATAGATGTCCTTAAGCATCTACCTGCCTATTCCTTCCTGCTAGTTTTTTAATCCTCTTGATTAGTTTTACTACTTGTTATCCTTTCTAACACAACACTAATGCTTTTAGCATAAGACGATGGATGATGACTAAAGGAGACTTAGCTGACTATCAGTTTGCTTGGTGGAACCACAGTAACTACACAGCCCAAGATAGATCATAAAGTGATGTTGATAAATGATTAAAATCAATGTCAGATGAAGTGAGTGATGTGTTGTAAAGCAGGATATAGCACTGATGGGATCTGGAGAGGACCAAGCAATGCAATTAAATCAATTTGACAATGTTGATGGTGGATTTTTGTTTATGTTTAAAATGAGTAAATAGGACAAATAAACTTTTCCATCAAAGTCTGTCTCTGGAAATCTAGTGTTTGTAGCTACTACAAATATTTTGACAACAACTATATCAAAAGGTTGTGATTTAATTTGCTTCCACACCCTGGCTATTTCTAATTGTTTAAACTTTATTGAGAAAGGAAGGATTTGATGTTTTGAATATCAGAAACTCAATCAGAATGGATGTTAAACAAATATCCAGTGTCACTTCTGCAGTGTTGGTGACCTAAGCATTATAGAATTAAGACCTGGAAAGTGACACTAACTATAAGTTAAAACAAAACTAAATTAGGTCATGTAAAAAACTGTGCGATTATGCTAATGCACAGTAAAACAGGCTACTGTGTGTTAAGCATCACTTAAAAACCATACACATTTGTTACTGTGCATTAAGGCAGCTTAATACGCATTTGTTTAGTACCTCTCTGAGAGCCACATATCCATGTGGGGCCCTAAACAACTTCACAAAAGTCAATGGGCATGTCTACACATGGGCCTACATCATTGTATGACGCACTACGGTGATGTAGTGATCACATGAGTGTACATGTACTTTTGGAAGTACTAAAGCATGGCGCAGTAACTGTCTGTACTGTGCTGTGCACACAGTGCATGGTTAGTTTTAGCTGTTAGTTTGCCGTAGTGGCACACTAGAATGGGAGAATGCACTCCTACAGAAAAGTAGCTGCTGGTCCTGTGATTGCTACATCACTGTAGCATGTACGGTGACATAGTGTATCACTACAGCGATGTAGGCCGACATGTATATATGTCCATTGATTTATGTGGATGTTGTTTAAGGCCCCACATGGATATGTGGCTGTGTAGGGGTCCCAGGGAGCTGTGTAGGGGTTCCAAGTACCTCTGAATGCTAATTCCACTGATCTAGTGATCACTTCTTCCATACTATCCCAGGCACATTGGATATGTTCTTATTTATTTTGAATGTGATGCCAATGTAAACAAAAATAAAAATAACATATTCTACCAACTCTTAAAAAAAATCTTTGGCTTGAATCCTTTAGTAAGATGAGCAATCTGAGAACTTTTAAAGTAGGTCATTTTTTCTGCCTTAATCATGAGCACCATGCTCTTTAAACAATTTCTAGTTAAATATGTGTCTAACTTTTCATTAAGGACTAAGACAAGAGAGGCTGTCTGTCTGAAAAATGTATCATAACATACTTGTTACAGATCCTAGTTCTTCTCTGATTATCTCTCTTATATCTCTCTTTGAAATGTGACAGGAGAGACTGAGAAATGTTGAATCTTTGTCAAAAAATTTAAAATATATAGTTCTAACTGACAGTTTGAAAAAGTTGAAAGCAACTATATTGTATGAAGAAGGATAGAAGTCCTGTCAGAATAGGCCTTTCTATTAAAAATAGCACAACTGCACATGAGGGAACATCAGGAAAATTCAATCTAAATAAATAAAAGAAGAAAAAACTTTTAAGAAATCTGTGTTTACTCTGGCACGCGACTGGCCTACACTGCATTTGACATATTAGGAAGAATCTTGGCTGGGAGCTCTGAAAAGCACTTAAAAAGGCATATGTTTCTTTTCAAAATATAAGGGGCCTGGAATGTTTTCTTTAAACAGAATTCTTATAAATCTTTTATTTTTTTCATTTGTGTGTGCATACTTCAGAATAACTTCCTTAACTCCATTCCTCAGACCATTTGAAATAATTATTTTACTGACTATTTTCGCCAATTGTGTGGCCTTAGCTATCTATATCCCCTTTCCAGAAGATGATTCCAATGCCACCAATTCCAATCTGGTAAGTCCTCATGAATATCCAGACCATCTACTTTGCAGGTCTTGTTTAAAACTCACCCAACAGATACTGTTGGAAGCTAAGGAGAATAAGACATGCATATGTGTAAAGAACTGTATGTTTTAGTTGTGAATACTATATTGTTTTTATTCATATTAGCACCTGTTTCATTAGGATTTGCTTTAGCTAAGAATATTCCCCAAAATTGCAAGGCTTCTGCGTGTGATGTTTTGGTTAGCAAATTTCAGAGTTTGCTGCAGAAGTGCTTGGTAAGTTTAAATGCAGGTGTTCCAGGAGATATCTTTTATTCATGGATTATGTGTTGGTTTGTTTCATTAAATGCCATTGTGAAATTGTTATGGTCCTTCTCTCAGGTGATGCACAGCAGCATAGCTTGATGACTAATTTCTAGGAAGTGTATTAATATTTGCATTCTATATTGGTATTATGTTTGTTCAAAGGGTATTTTTTCTCTTGCATGGGAAGCTTTTTTCCCTCTCTCCCCATTTATGCAAATAACAGTATTTTGGGATAGCACTGTCCATGGAAAAAGGAACGTGTTTACTTTTGCCTTAGTGTAAAGTCATAGCAAAGAACTCTGCTCAGTAAAGGAACAACACAAAACAGAAGTCTGGAATACAGTCCATAGAATTACCATAAAATGCTGCCCTCCTTCCCAAAACATTACATACTAAAGATTCCTCATGATTTGATTTGTGGAACAAAATTTTATCCTGTGTCAGAGCATAGACTAGGGACACTGTTCATTTACCCCAGTAAGAATTCATTGGGATATGAGAGCATTTGCAGGGATAGACAAGAGAAATTAAAGACCATTCCTCTTAAATAGATGCAACTGGTTGTATGACTGTCACCATTGTTGAAAAGCTTTATGTTGTTTTCTGAGATGTAGTCATTTTGAAGAAATATTCTTATAAAGTTGTCTATAACAAGCCACAGTGAAATAAAGACTTTGACTTTGCTGAAACATAAATCCTGAGTTAACCTTTTACTTTGAAACTTTAGGGAAAAAAATTTCTTATTACATTTTCAATCATTTTCCACTTTTACAATTAACTTCAAACTGGTATTGGGTTTGTGACAGGAATGTTTGTGACTTGGTATCATGACTTATTGCCACTTTTCCTGCTGTCTGATTGCACTGTTTGAAAGCATCAGATATTGGCTGCTGCTACTGATGGTATGTGTATATGCAGATAATTCACTTTAACATTTAAAGAAATGGACCTGGAAATGGGAATCTTTCATAACTTGACATCTAGGATATAGTACACTGACTCATTGTCTGCTATCAATTTTGATTTGTAACATGGAAAGATAAAAATTAAGCAGATTTGAAGTTTGGAGGATTTAAATTTGTCTTGAGTTTAATTAAGCATAGGTAGTCTTATTTCAACAGCATGAAACTACTGGATAATGGCTTCTGAGTAGCATTTTGGATAAACTTTAGTAATGGAATCAGACGGACTGAACTAGTTTGTCTGGGAAAATATTAACAATATTAATCTGAGCAGCTGTATTGAAGCTGTCTGTAAGAGATCTGTTTTGCACATATAGTAGCTCGGTTTAATATTTTACCTCATCACATAACCACCCAATCACAACAGCTTACAATTAAATGTAGTAATGTAATAGAAAATACAAGAACTCCAAGAGCTAGATTTGTAAAAGTTTGCATGTGAGAGTAGGGAGAGAATTCACTTACATGGGTAGCTGTTCTGGGGAAGTAGGGGAGGGGAGAAAACTAACCGGGGAAACTGATCTCTTGTTATCAGTGGAACAGGAATATAATATGGCAGTACAAGAGTACATAATAGGCATGGTGTGCAGTGGCAGTAGAATGGGCTTTCATTCATCTGTGGTACTATTTTACCTCTACATTTTGTGTTAGGTTCTGGAGGTCTGACTGAACAGCAGCCTCTTGTCCTACTCTTTGTAAAAGAGGCTTTCTATTAAGACAGGGCATAGCTTGATGGGTTCATGCTAACAGAAGCCTTCCCTGTGCTGAATTAAGCTTTCAGGTTACATTTGAGTTAGTTCAGCAGTTCTGCCTGTTAACTCCTTGAGCTCTCCTACAAGATAATAGGCATGGGTTTTATATTCATGCATAGGCATTAAAATAATATTTTGTATAATTCATACAAATATATCTGGGAGCCTCATGTAATTTGGCATACGCTTAAAGAGTTAAATATTTAAGCTGAGGACGAGTATTAGGTAAAGGTGAAAAAATGTATTAGAGATTTAGAATGAGATGAAGGATGAAGGGACACAGAGTGGATGAAGTAGAAGATGAAGGGGCACAGAATTAGAAAGTAACTGTTCCACATGGCAGAAAAAGCAGAACAGAGGAATCTTGCAATTAAATAGCCAAATTGCATGTGGAAGTTCAGACAGGTGGCCAACTACTTTGCGATCACTTAATTTTATTCTCTAGTCTAGAATCCCACAGGATTCTTTCAGCAGCAGAATGGCTATGCCTACTTCAGTGTATATAGTTTAGTATTGTATACTGTTATGTTTGTCCAGAGCATTCATAAATAAATGTCTCCAGCCATGACTGTGGGAAAGAGTGCTGCCAGATGGCTGGCACAGAATATATAATAAATATAAAGTAAATATATAATAAATATAAAGTAAAACAATACATGCATTAGCACTGGCAGATTCAACAGAAGTAACTAGATTCACACATGCCGATTCAACAAATACACATCTCTCACATATACCAATGTGCATATCTTTTTTGTATCCCTTTCAATAAAAAGTCAGTTGGTCTTGTGTTCCCCTGCTTTTCCAGGGGAAATTTTCACTTGTGTAACAAGTCTGGCTTCACATTCACTTTGCAATTTAATTTTCGGGGAAAAAAGTTACTATAGCTAGGGGTTTACCAAACTTGAGGAGGCAGCCAGCCAATTTCACAGGCAGATCCAGAGGTTGATCACCATTTTTTCAGACTGAGTGCGGTGTGGCCCTTCCACACCTCTGATTGGCCTAGGGGCACCAGCAGTCCTGCCTCTCCCCACAGATTGCCACATGGATGGAAACTACAGCTTAATTATCCTGGTTAAGCCTGGGGAAACCGTTAATCCATGTGTTATTAAGTGTGGATTAATGGCTTCCTCAGGCTTAATCAGGGTAATTAAACTGCAGTTTCTGGCCATCTCCAGTTGCAGGCTCTGCAATGTTGGTAGTCTTGGTTCAAAAAACCCCAAAGCAAAATTAAAACTTACCAGCAAGCAGAGAAAAGGGTGGGAAGCCTTGCAGTCTTGGAGAACAGGGGGAAGGCAGAAGGGGAAGAGGGGACAGGAAAGGTGGTGGGGAGGGCTGCTTGCAGCAGGAAGCTCAGAGGCAGCATCCATGCCTCCTGCTGTGAACAGTCCCACCCCCCTCCACCTTCTCCTTCTGTCCTCCCTACCCGCCGCTGCCTCCTCCCCACCCTTACACCTTTCCTCCATGCTCCAAGACTGCAGAGCTTCCTCGCCTTTTCTCTGTTTGCTGGAAAGGTTTTTTTGGGGGGGTTGGTTTTTTTGGGCAGCAAGCCTGCCAAAATTACAGAATTCCCCCCCACCCCTTTTTTTGCAGGTTCCATGAAAATGGCACAATGACAATTTCAGGAAGTCCCTAACTACAGCAAGTCCTACATTACTGATTTCCAGAGACATGGAGAAGCTTATTCAAGAAATGCATTACCTAGTACAAAGATTGGCAACCTACAAGCTATGGGGCAGATCTAGTCTGCAGAACCTTTGAATCTAACTGCAGAGCCATGGCTTTGGTAGCATTTGTCAGCAAGGGGCTCTGTTTGCCCCATGCTGCATCACAGCCAGGCACCAAGGACTTTGATGGAGGGGAGCGCTACCTGTGTGGCACTGTAGCCTTATGTCAAAGAGACATCTCCTTGTCAGCAGTCAAGACATCTGGGTTCTAGTGCCCACTCACTTTGGACCTGAGTAAGGTCATTTCTGGCCTCCTGATGAAAAACATTAACAAGTTCTGACCTTGTATGTGATGTGTAGTCACTCTTTTTTTTGTAAAGCTCAAAAGAGAAAATCAGCCATTTCCCAGTAAACTGACACTTTTTCTCAGGTTCTCAATGCATCTTTTCTAATATTTCATTGTCAGTTTCCAAGCATGTTTTCATCTTGGAATGGTAGTTCAAAGTGTAGTTTCTTCTGTGTAAAGGAGAGAAAAAGGGTGCATGAGAGTAAGTGTGCATGTGTGTGGCCCTCAGAAATGCTTTAATTAGAGTTGGGGATCTGAGAGTTTCCTTCAGCAGCAGCCCGCTATAAAAAGCATTCTACTCTTCTAAAAATGAAGGTCAAATAGGAAACCACTTCACCTTTTTGATCTTGTTCAGTGGAAAGCAGCTAAAGAAACTGTTACAGACAGAAAAGAACTGGTCATCACTGCCCTTGTCCTTCAAGTAAGTAAGAGTATTCGGGCTGGAGTGCTGTGGGCACTAAGGTGCAGGTTGACAGCCTAGAGATTGCAAGCTCGAGGTCATAGCAGAAGCGCCTCTGGTGCAGCCTGTCAGATTTCAGTGAAGCTGAAAATTCTGCTAAATACCTTGTCACAGGGACACAGAAAAAGGAAAGGATCTTGGAACAGCAGGGTGAATTCAGTCAATTGTTTTTAGATGCTAATCAAGTAGAGGATGATAATAAGAGAGAAAGTAGTTGTGGGCTGCACAGAGATTCTTTTCTTCCACTGATGCTTTTTATGTGAAGCTCAACAAAATGGTGGCTGATATTGTTTCACTGAATAGTTATAATCAGAGTGAATTCCATGTTTGAACATAGGACATTAGAGTCCAAAAGCCAATAGTAAAAAAGGACATACTTATAACTATTTACTCTTAATAGGAGTCTTGCTCCAAAATACACATACCTCACTTCACACATATAATATCCACTGATAGACATTCACCTCCCCTATTTTATTGCTTTTTCCATTAGCTATGTTAACTAGCTATAATGCTT